CCCTTTGGCTACGGAAGACTAGAATTAATAAAGCTATTTTTATTCGCTCCTTTACAGTGCTTCCTGAAAGTGATTTGAGGGAGGGACATGGTTCAGCTCGAGGAATATTGTTTCATACGCTATTTGTCAAAACAGCTGCCATAACCCCCACCCCACATCCTTGAAGGTATAGAATCCTTTTGTTTTCTGTGATTGTACTAAGTTCATTTTATACAAAAGTCAAACATAAGCTTTAAGGGAAAAAAACAAACAAACAAACCATAGAAGGACATTTTCCCCTTTAAAGCAAGAACATTTTGGTTAATACTGAGCCACAACTGTTAGCTCAACACCCACACACTCTGTACAAGCTACAGCAAAAAAAAAAAAAAAAAAAAAAAAAAATGAATACACCCAGCAGAGCCCTTGTCTGTTGCAGGTACAACAGAAAGGGGACTGGCCAATTTACCTTCATCAGCCTCAATAGCCTCAACAGTAGCTGAAGAGAAGAAAGGGGGTGCAAAATGAATGAGAAAAATGAGCAGAGGATTTTTAACTCTAAGAACAATCAGTGACGATTAAAGGAGCTAAGAGAATTAATGTTCCTGTAAGTGCTGGATTCTGGCACAGACGACAAAACAGAAATGCTAAGAAATGAAAAAGAAAGAAAAAAACACCACAAAAACTGTTGAATGGATGAACTGGACACATGTACCCAAATGAATTGCTTTGGTGTTTGCCCACTAAATAAATAACCAAACAGTTACCCCTGTTTACCCCAAAATACTGAGGGAAATTTCTTTTGCTTGGATTGAACGATCGGGGTTTATGTAAATCTGAAACGTGCTTTTGACGTTCCTCTGCCAGGTGATTTATAGTTTAAAAATCCCCAGACAAAATCAGTGGAATATCTCACACTATTTAATATTAAATAGCACTACTTCTTGATGCATGGAAAAGCAGGGGTTTGCAAATTAAGGAAACGTAAAATCAAGGAGTCTAAGCTGATAATGTGTGTAAAATTTGGGGGCACGTTTGGATTGAGAGGTGGAGGGTGAGAACAGGGTGAAGCAGAAAGGAAAAAGGAAGGGAATGATACAGTGCAGACTTCTCTCGCCAGGAAGCCCAATTTAAAATAAGTTTCCATTCCTTAGTGGAATATCATTTTTGGAAATGAAATTCTTGAAATGTTAACAAATCAAGTGGTAACGTGCCAGCAGTGGCAATAATTCTATCAGCATTTTAAAGAACAGGCAGCCAAAATACTGAAACCTCATATATCTGCATATGAAGTTTCCTATAAATACACTGAAATAGCATATTTCAGAGGCAGAACTTTAAAAGCCATTGCTTTATCAGCAATTTTTATAATAAGGTTTGGGTCCATACTGGTGTATGTGTCTTTCTATGTTATTAAGGTAGCTGGTATTTCCCTAATTAAATGTTAAAATGTCAAACTTCTCTGTAACTCCAAAATGGTTAATATTAAAACTTTTGCCCCCTGACTTTAATTTGTACTTTTCTTAAAATTCAAGGTTTTAAAACTGCAGCAACTGCCAGATGTGCCTTATTACCTACAGTGCATTCTAGATTCCTTCTGATAAAAATGAAGAATGGTCACCCCCAGGGAGAAGAGCTGAACGGAAAAGCTTTAAGTAGTTTCCCCTTTTAGACAAATTGAAGGGCATCAGTATGAATTCTGAAACGGTACATGTATTAATGAATGTGGTTTAAAATATATACTGTTTTCAAATTCTCAGGACAAATGAGAATCCAACCCGTATGTGTTTTATGTGTGTGTGAGCTCAACATAGAGTAACACAAACCAATGGATTTAAAATGAAGTTTAAAAAAAAAATCCTTCAATAACCCAAGATAAAAATACACATAAAAACCTGGAAATGAAACAAAGAATTGGAAGAACTTAAGTTTAAAAGGAAAGCAAAAATCTGGAACCTCACCAGCACTGACAAGACTAGAAATATGTACTGCCCTCTAACTGTGTCTTTCTAAAGCAAATGAGCCTCATTGTGTGTGCCAGTAACTTGCGGTGTCTTAAAATGTGCTTCTCAGAAACTGGGGATCTCAGGCAATGAGGTGAGGAGTGCGTGTTGTGCATGGATCCATTGATATTAATGTTTTAGTGAGCATGTTTACTTTGGTGGGAAAACGTCTCTGTTTTGGTAAACTTCTTAAAAAAATTTCTAGCTATAAATTCAAAGGGAGAATTTACTTCAATACTATGTATCTTTCTACCTTCATTTTAAAATTTTTGTCTTTTTATAAAATCTCAAAGCAATGTTTTTGGAGTAAATTCATCTGAAAATATGGAAAATTACTGTGATGTTGCTAGGCTGCGATCATGAAGCTGATCATTATTCTTCATGTAGATGTGGTGTGTCCAAATAACATAACCATAGATTGCAGCACAGGGATAGGCAAGAGAATACAGAAGATTCAGGGCTTTAAAGATATAGGAACATAGGCAAGAAGCTGAGATTGTTTTGAAAATGTTATACATATTTTTGTTTTTATTTTTTTTCTGATAACGTCTGATCTAATAACAAAATTTCCAAAAAGAATTATTAAAAATTATTCTCTGATTAATGATAATATTAAAGTTGAAAACAAAAGTAACAAAATAACAAAGTAAATGGGTATCTGAAACTGTGATAAGGTATTAGCCATTAGCCACATGTAGCTATTTAAATTAAATGTAACAAAAAGTAGACACAATTAAAATGAATTAATTTCTTAGCTGTACTAGCTATGTTTCAAAAGCTCAAAAGTCACATGTAGCTTCTGTAGGGAGAGAGAAATTTTCATCATCACAAAAAGTTCCGTTGGACACTGGTCTAAAAAGCTGCACATTTTAACACAAAATCTTGGTCTTAAAGAAAATTTTTTTTTTTTTTTTTTTTCAAAAATAAAGTGTAGTTCTGCATAGTTTCTTATGTTTTGGATTGATAAATCAGAGAAAAGACACATATAGTTTATATTTATATTCAAGTGGGTAATGAAGACATCTTTTTTATATACTTCTTCCATTCTACACTAAACTCTAGACTTACAGGTATATATTACCTTGTGTGAATGTGCTTATCCGTGAAATAATCAGAATACTTATTAAAAATGTAACTGAAAAATTGTTTTTGGCACTGATTGGTCCAAGTCGTCCACCCTATTGTGTAACCTACAGAGCTGTCTTAGGGCTAGCTCTGAGTATGTGGAATAACATGTAAATGGGGAAAAGGAAAGAGGTGGGGTGAGGACCACATTCCAGAGAAGGAGGGAGCTAGCATGTCGGACGTGACTGATAAATTGATCGGGCTTTCAGCTCTTCTTCCAGCCAAGAAGAACTGAAGACCCAGATGGAGCTTGCATGAATGATTCAATCAGGGCTCTAAGCCACAGCTGGATGAGGTGCTGGGCACGCAGTTGCACCAATCTGCCTGCTTACCGCTTTGCAGAGTTTGCTTCCCTCCAGAGAGTACTCCGCTGGGGAGCATGCCGGTCGGGGTCAAGCCTTTCAGCGTCAGCACACTCTCACTCTCTTCTCTGCAAGGCACAACAACAGGAGGTGTTCACTTTTATTTCTCTCGTGAAAAAGAGAGGATTTGAAGAAAAAATGCACAGAAGAACACACATTTACCACCGTCTTGACCCTTGGGGTCTTTTTTTTTTTAAACATACCATCTTTGAACACGTGCATCAGTTGCAATGTCCCCTAAACGACTGCTTTGCTAAAGTTTACACTGTCTACCTGTGGAGTTTGAGTCTCTTCGGAGTACTGAAGACAGAAACAATCCTGACTTTGTAATCGTGCATCATAACAGAAAGTATTTGTTGTGTATCCCCCACAATACCAATAAGCATGTTGTAAGTCAGTCACCGGGAGGGGGGGGGTGCGGGGTGCTCTCAGCAGGAATAAGTAGAACTGATTTGATGTGCGAGGGAAAACCAGAGAGTACACCAGAGATTGAAAAACAATCTGATCTATGGATTAGGGAACCAGGAATTACATTCAGGGATTCTTAGAAACTAAAAAAATTAGGAATTGGGATACTACCTGAGAAACATGCAAAATAATGGCAATTAACCAATAAAGCCCTGATAACATTTCCCAGATTTTCTTTTTTGGCCCCTGTCTGCACTGATTTGCTAATAAAATTTTTTTTTCTTACTACGATAACTTTTACAAACAGTTCTAAGAATATCATGTCAATTATATTATTTGAGACTATTAATCATTTTGATTAATAAATCTTAATAAATAAAATCATAAGTAACTATGACATAATACCAACCTCATACATTTGCAAACATTACAATCTTACCTAATTAGAACAAAATATTAACTGCCTACGCCACATTTTCACATAAGTGCTTAATAGGACCCAGACGGAATTCCTGCACTCTACTCACACCTGCTGCTTCCACAGTCCCGCTTCAACTCAGCAACCCACAAGTCTGTTTTTTAGTGAAGAGTGACGGCTCCGCCTTTAACTCCTTTTATCCTCTCTCATTCCATCTCCACCCATTAGCAAATCTTGAAGGAGTCCCCCTCAAAGTATTTCCAGCATCTGACCACTGCTCACAAACCTGTTTCCTCCTCTCCTTTTGGAAATGGCTCTGTTGAGATGGAATTAACGTAGAATACAGTGCACCCATTTAAAGTGCATGATTCAGTCAATGGTTTTAAGTATGCTCATAGAGTTGCGCAACCATCACCATTATCCATTTTATACCATTTCATCACGGCCCAAAGAAACACTGTTTTTTAGAGGATATTACAGGTGTGTACATGCTTTAGTTACCTAGTGTGCTTTTGTACATTTTAAGTCAAAGTTAGAAGTGTGTGCCTTTCACGTAAAAAGTGTGCATTCTCCAAGTTTGGTGTTCATTTATTCCCCCTCCGAAAAGAAACTTTGTGCCTGTTAAGCAGTCACTTTCCATTCCTCTCAGCCCTGTGAACTCCTCACTGCTTTCTGTAGTTTGTTCCTTCTGGACATTTTGTATAATGCACTGGTGTTACCGAATCTTGCAACACATAGTCCTCTGGGCCTGCCTGCTCTCACTCTCCACCAGCATCCCTTACCTGGACTGCTGCGGCCCCCTGAATGGTCTCCCTGCTCCATCCTTGTCACACTCTTGCCCTCCTTCCACAGCTGTTTGCAGCCTGGCAGCCAGGTGGGCTTTGTCCTACCTAGGCCTGATGCTGTCACTACTCTACCCAAACTCTGTAATGATTTCTCTTCTCCTTACAGGTCAAAGGCAAAATCTTCAGCAGGTTCCACAAGGGCCTTAAACAACCAGCCTCCAAACCACACTCTCCCTTGTGCTGACTTGGAAATGTGGTCCAAAGATGGGTTTCCTATGTGGCAACCTTAAATCCACAAACTGTTTTTAAAAGACCCATCTTCCCACATCCTCTTCCTTAGATACCAGTATCCTATCACTCACTAATACTTGTGCAGAACAGTCTTAGAACGTTCCCTCTCTCAGAACCCCTTGCCTTATAGGTAAGGTTTCTATTCTGGTAGCAAACAACAGAAATCTATCCTGGCTAATTTTAACAGGAAAGAGAAATATTAACAGATATTCGAGAGCTGACAGATTCAGAGAACTGAATTTGAATGCTCCACAGCCAGGAAGTGGACCAGTGCCCTTCCAGGCTGTGGGGTCAGTTCCATAAACAGCTGTCACTGATGTCCCAAGCCAAGCCCGAGGCACACTAACGCTCGGGTGGGAGCTCTCCCATTGCGGCCTCGTGGACTCCGCCCCTGACAGAGCCACCGCCTTCCCCCCACCCCCACCCCCGCTGCTTCCTCCCGGTGCTCACTCTGAGACAGCGGCCTCATGCCTGTTCATCTGATTGGCAAATCCTAGGTGACACCCCATGTGCCTGACCTGCCAGGGCAGCCGAAAGGCAGTCTGCAGGTTCCCATACGATATTACAAATTTCCAAAATGTGAGAAAAATGTTGGGCAACTATGTCTGGCAAATTTGTACTTCCATCGACATTCATTCACTTATTATATTCTAGTTTCCCCAATTCCTTATTATTTGTCCCTTCCTTTGTATTTCTCCTCCCATTGCCTGGTCCAACCTTTTGCTTCATTTACTTCAATAGCTTCCTAAATGTTTCTCCTGTTGCCAGAAAGTCATCTTGCTAGCCAGTCTTCACATTCCCACTAATACACACAGTGCAACGTGGGTTAGAGCTGCCTCTCATCCCATGAAAATCATCCCAGGACTCCCAGTTGCCCACACACAAAATTTTGCCATGGCATTCGAGGCATTCATAGATCAGAACTTACATACACTTTCAGCCCATTTTTCACTAGATTTTCACTCACCTTCAAGTGTTTTACCATCTAGTCCTTTTCCAGACTCAGAATCTACCACTAAGCTACTTAGAATTCAGACCAGACTATGTTGGCCACTATCCAGTGGGACTCTCATTGGCGTTGCTACCGTGTGAGTGACTTGGGACACTCGGCCTGGCCTCTCAGTTTGTTTCCTCATAGTAGAGTGAAGTCACTCAACCTCACAAGTTTCCTGTGCAGATGGCCGTTAGATGCTCGTGACACGAAGCATGACTCCTGACGCTTAGCAAACGCCCTCGATAGTGCTCTTAGGACAGTGAGACTATGCTCCTGGAAATTTCTCTGCCTCCAGGGATGTCTTCAACACAGTTCTGTACCTACTTAGGGACCTCTGCATCTGCCATTCCCTTTGCTTTGAATGCACTTAACCCATTTCTTTGAAAAAGTCACCCACACTTGCTCAAATACCATTACAGTTCTCTGTTGAGCTCCTACCCAAATAAGTGCCTTATCTTATCACTTGCTATCCTCTCATATTGCCTCAATGTTTCCCTTCATGGCACATAACCAGTGCTTTAACTGTTATCATACTTATTGACTGCATGAATGAATAAATCCTTCTAGCTAGAAGCACAGAGCAAAGGTAGCCTCATTCATTAGCTGCAGGGAGCAATGACGCTCTATTTTCAGCTTGTCCTGACAGTGCTGGCTACCCCTGAGCCATCCCCGACTTTCATGTGGTGTCTTTGAAGCTGGATGATGATGCTTCTCATCCTTCTCATGCCCCCTGCCTTCTGTATCAAGCCATTTAGTTGCTCTTTAGTGACTCCATCTACCAGGAGTAGGATAGAAATAGCAAGAGGAGAAATCAAAAGAGCCAGTGTAGTTACTCTATGAGAAATGAAGTGAGGCAAAACTTGGCAAAAATTAGATTATTAAATTGCACAGCTGTATATGTAATATTTCTCAATGTATTCCTACTTGCTCTTGCTAATATGGATAAATGAACTGTGTACTCCTCACACATAAACATACCATATTTTTAATTTTTGAAGAGATATATGGTTATTTTGCATTCTCTAGAAATATGTTAACTGAAGTGTGCCGAATTTCTTTTAAGAATATACTTGTTTTCTAAACCCACCCTTAATAATAGAATGATTTATGATCTACTTAAAAATGATAGTACTGTGCAGAAATTGAAACATTAATTGACTTTTGCCTCTCAATTATTAGAAAAAGGTAAGTCACACAAACAGCTGTATGGTTGCTGTTCCCTTCTTAGAGAGCTAGTGACACGCACCTGCTAAGTCCATCCTTTACCGCAGAGCCCAACCGAAAAACAAAAAAGAATTACAGGGGCTTTTCCTGTTTCATAAGATGCTCTACCTATTGTGAAACAAATGCTTTAAAGTCCTGCAGCAAAGAGGAATACGACGTGATGCAACCCAGCTACAGACGCTATCTTTACAGAAACAATTCAGCAGACCGCGATTTAACTAAAATAGCAAGGAGCTGACAATTTCTTAATTTAATAAACGAACAAAGGCCACTATTTTCTAGTAAAACATCTGAATGATCAGATTAAATGTACAAAGTACAATTCAAAAGAGAAACCGAGGCTCGATGACCCACCTGAGGACTGAGAACACTCTGGCCATCTTGCCTATTGCCCGGATCTTGTTCCTGATCACCTCCTTCCGGGCTGCAGCTGTCGCTCCTACAGTTTAAAACAGAGAGTTCAGGAGTCAGTGACTTTTCATCTGTGAGTTTACAAATTACACATGTAACAGATATACCAGGGTTTCTCCCAAAAAATGATTTATCTGTAAATCAAATTTGAAAATCCACATTTTGGCCATTAATACTCAAATTTCCAAATTTGAGTTCTTTTTATTTTTTTCCTTTGAGACAGAGTCTCACTCTGTTGCCCTGATGAGAATGCCTGGGGCATCATCACAGCTCACAGCAATCTCCAACTCTT